GATCAAGTATATTAAGAGTATATTATATATTAAAATTAAATTATTCTATAATAGGTTAATTAAAAAAAGTATATAAGATATTCTGATGATTTTTTGTATTGGTGACATGTCATAATGTCATTATATAATTTTATATCATGTTTACTAAAGTTGTCAATTATTTCCTAACCAATACTCTCAAAAGGAAACCTTACTTTTCCACAAATTATGAATGCACAAAAACATAATAATTCATAAATGAATCGATGTGAAAGATAAAAATCGCAGAAAAACGATAAAAAGAGTGAGAAACAAAAAAATCAAACAACAATTATTCTTTCCTTACAATTTAAGGTTCTAACGAAATAAAACGTAAAGATGCATTCCAACATCTCTGTTGAGATAATGCAGATTTCTCGATAGAAGCAAAACATACTATAACTTGTCTGATCAATAATTTTTTTATTACAAACGTATTTTCTGCAAAATAAAAGATGACCAATCATGTAATAATTTTTTTATTACAAACGTATTTGATGCAAAATAACGCGAGTTTGGTTAGTATTTAATTGGTCATATATACGACTCTCGTTAATTAGAAACTAAAATAAAATTCACGGTACACTAAATAATTTAATTCGAAAATGTATTCGTCTAATCGATAAATAAAGTGTGATCGTGATCAGTAAAAAAAATTGCATAGACAAATTGAAAAAACAAAATAAATTCGAAAAAAATGTACACAAACAAATAAGTGATCAGTAAAATATATCCTCATTTGTCTTTATATTTAAAATTTTATGATATGATATTGAATTGTCATGAATACAAAACTAAAACTAAATAATTACGAAGTGTGCAATACACATCAATATTAATAAAAAAAAATAATTACTAAAATTTATTTTGCTAAAATATTTTAAAATAAATTCCAGCGCGTAATAACCCCTAGTAACTATTGATTCTACGTTCTATTTATAAACGCAAGATGNTGCGACAAAAAAAAAACAAACGCAAGATGACAAGTTATTGTGTGTAAAGAATAACGATGGGCTCCACATAAATTAAATGTCACCTTAATACACAAATGTTACTGATATATATATCTTCAGAATTTTTATTTGTCTTTCTATCGTTTCTAAAAACTACGGGTGAATTTGTGGGATAACCAAAAAAAAAAATTTAATCTAGAAACTAACTAATTGGATAGAGAGAAATAGAGAGATAGAAAGAGAAAAATGGTAATTTTAGTTAGTTTTTAGATTATATTTTTTGTGTTATTTTTGCCAATTTCCCAAAAACTAATACGCATTTTTTTGTCACCAAACTAATACACAATTATGTTGAGAATTGTTAACAGGGCTCTAATCAGTGGTGATACTGGACGTGATGACAACGACTTCGGCACAACTGATAACTCGATAAGTTACATTCAGGAAACCAACCACCAAAAAAATTTCCGTTTATTTTTCATTTAAAAATAGTCGACTTTTTCTCTATAGTTTTAACGTCTTTCTACATTTAGAAATTTTTTGTAGTTTTTACTTTTCGAAGTTTATCATCATTATTATAAATTATAATTTTTGAAGTATCTTCTAATGTCACCTTATTATGTATTTGGTAGTTAAAAAC